TTGAAAACTGTGCTTAGCTTCTGCTAGATCAAGGGGTTTGTCCAGGTTACCTGCTGTATTTGATGCCATGGTAAGGAAAGATCCTTAAACCTCGGCTTCATTCTCTCTGCTTCGTGATGCGTTTTTTTTCCTGCACATGCACTGATGGAGCAATGAAAGGATGGACTTTGGGTTTTTGTTTTTTTTAAAGCCAGCTGAAATCAATAAGACTATCCCCACCTGTCAGTTTCCCAACAGCACTTGTGTGTCAACCAAAGAACTTGGGGATAATTTATTTTTTCAGGGATTGCACCTTCAGATCTGTTGCACCCAACCCTACCTTTGATTAAAAAACATTAAAAACTGGAGATTTGGGGGGACAGACACCTCTCTGTAAAAGATTTGGAGATTTTTCATAACCAACATAATAGAAGCTGGCATAGGGTTTGCGTCACACATCTCTTTCCACTCCCATTTCCAAGGAACACACGGACAGTTCACAAGCAGAGAAGCCTTTGGAGGCAACATAGAAGGGATAGCAGTAGCACTTAGACTTATACACCACTTCACAGTGCTTGACAGCCCCCTCCAAGCAGTTTACAGAGTCAGCCTATTGCCCCCAACAATCAGTCCTCATTTTACTGACCTCAGAAGGATAGAAGGCTGAGCCAACCTCGAACAAGTCAGGATCGAACTGCCAAACAGCTGGCAGTCGGCAGAAATAGCCTGCAGTACTACACTCTAACGACTACGCTACCACAGATGCATATGTATCTTTTAAAAAGTCAAGAGGGCAGCCATGATCATGAGATGGAAGACCTGCCCCTTTTCAACCTTCAACACTCCTAAAAAAAGCGGGAGGATACTTCAATTGCAGAGACACAACCCCATTTTGATTTTCTTGGCCTCCTCTGTGGAAAATTCAGATTATAGTGAGAAATTGTGGTAGAAATATTTTTGAGAAGATGCCACCCTTTTTGTACGCATTTTCAAGCCTCACTTCTGGATTTCTTAAAAGTATGCATGGATTCCTGGGGACAACCTACATCCATGATGGCGAACCTATAGCACGCGTGCCACAGGTGGCACGCAGAGCCATTGCTGAGGGCATGTGAGGCGTTGTCCTGTCAGCTCCAGCCCACGCTGGCCAGTGATTTTCAGCCTTGATTTTTGGCCATTTTTCTCCTCCGGAGGCTTCTTGGGGAATGGACTTGTGAGAATAGAGATGAAATCCTAGTTATTTGAGTAAATTTGTTGAGGTTATTTGAGGAACCTGATAGACTCCATTTTGAATATCTGACTAGCCAGCAAGCTACTCTGGAAAATGACAGCAAGGAGCCAAATCAGAAAGTTACAGTGACCTGACCAGAAATAGCCCGATGGGAGTAACAGGACATGGTTTGCAGGAAGCCGGTGCTCAAATCAGCACAAATACAACAAATGTAACAAAGAGGCAACAGTAAAAATATTGGGTTTCTGCCTGGATGGGCTGTGGTGACGAGCCGAAGGACAGAGAATGGAAATAGTGATCTTCCTCCCATATATGGGCATACTGGGTGTTGTAAAATCTAATAGATACCTTTCACCCT